TCAGGAGAGTAAAACATGTTCCAGACAGAGGAAACATTATCTGTGAAGGCTCAGAGACCAGAGAAAGTATGGTGCATCAAAGCCATCACAAAACTCTGGGTGTGGTATATAGAGAAGCGTAACAGATGAAGCTTGGGAGTAAGATGGATTTTAGACAAAGCAATCTGACAACGGAGTAGAATGGGATTTGAGAGGGGGTAAGAACTGAGCTATCATAGTTCAGGTGGGAGAGAACTTAAATTAGGATAGTGATAATAAGAATGAAGAGGCATGGGTGAATTTAAAATTTTTAGGGGACACAATCTCTAGACTTGACATTTGATTATACATAGTAACGGAGGAGGCCAAGGATTTCTGGTTCAGGCTGAGTAGGTGGATGAAGTCATTCGTGGAAACTGGAAACACTGAAAAAACAGAGGGTACTTGAATTAACCAAGTGGGAGATCTAGTAGGTAGCTCGATGTACTGGTAACTCGAAAGAAAAATCTTGGCTGGAAATGCAGTTTTTGGGAATCATCATCCATAGTTGGCCATTTAGGTCCTGGGGTAGCTGAGGTTGCACAGGGAGTCCTTGGAAAGGAAGTCTTCCTTCCAATAAATATTTAATACTGGAACTACATTTTCATGGTTTCTTTTTCTTTTTTTTTTTAAAGATTTTATTTATTTATGTATTAGAGAGCGAGAGAGAGAGAAACAGCATGAGAGGGGAGAAAGTCAGACGGAGAAGCAGGCTCGCCGCTGAGCTGGGAGTCCGATGCGGGACTCGATCCCAGGACTCCAGGATCATGACCTGAGCCGAAGGCAGTCGCTTAACCAACTGAGCCACCCAGGCGCCCTTCATGGTTTCTTCTTTAGTTCTTTCTACGTTATTTGCCACAATTTGGAGTAAGTGGAGATGTACACTGGCATAGAAATTTTTGACAAGCAGGATCAGAAGGTTGTAATAGCTTTTACAGCATACTGAGAAAGGTTTATGGAGCGTGTGGTAGCAGACTAAAGTGCTTGCTGTTGAGATGACTTGGGGTCAATTGCTGGAAAAGCAAGGTCAAGAGCGGTTGCTTCCATGTGCACGAAAAGCAATTCCTAGATGGTGGCTAAGGCCGGCTGGCAGGATTTGGGGGTTACATTGGACCCGAACCTGTCGTCATGGAGATGAGGCGGCTATAAAGTGGCCGAGTGAGAGTATTCAGAAGGGATACTAACGGTCAAAAGACTAAAGAAAAAGACAGAGGCCGAAAAAGTTAGTTACGTGGAAAATGGCAAGTTAAAACAAGCGTACCCGCTAAGCGAGATAGTACCACCTCGGGCTGGCCGAGTTTGTTTTCGTGTCATTTATACACAAAGAGGTACAGAACCCTCCTCACCGGAAGCAGAACCTCTGCCCTCTGGAGCATTACACATTCCTCCGCGCCGGAAGAGTGCGTTCTCCCTGAGCCCCGGCTGCTCTCCTCTCAGAGCTCTTTCCTAAAGGAGAGCTCGTGGGCCCTCCGCGGTGTGCCGCTTGTAGTCTTCGGACAGCGCAGAACTTTCGCAGACAAGGAGACAGGAACCACACGCGGCTAAGGGCAAAGGGAGGAAGAAGGAAGGCCCTACGATGAGGCGTCGCGTTGCTGCGGAGGGATTCTGTTTCTGTGGTGGCGGAGGGATTTGACAGTACGTTAACTTCCGGAAAAGTCCTGACCCAGAGAGGAAAAACCCCGAAGGAAACAATAACAAACGAGAAGAGGAAGCGATTGTGGGGTTCCTGTGTTGAGCGGTTCTTGTCCGAGAAGATGAGTTTCGGCCCCTGTCAGGAGACGTGAGCGGGTTCGGTGGGCTTCAGCCAGCCTTTCTCCACCTGTTCCCTCCCCCTCCCCCTCCCCCGGGGGCCCCCCGGGTATTGCTATGGCAGGCGTGGGGCCGGGGGGCTACGCGGCGGAGTTCGTGCCACCTCCTGAGTGTCCAGTCTTTGAGCCCAGCTGGGAGGAGTTCACGGACCCTCTCAGCTTTATCGGCCGCATCCGGCCTCTCGCGGAAAAAACCGGCATCTGCAAAATCCGACCGCCCAAGGTACCGGAGTCCGAGGAGAGAGGGGAGAGTGCTTTAACTTTACTTTTCCGGTCCTTCTGCCCTTTCATATTTACTCTCTCGCTTATCAACAACTAGAAGCTAAGTTTCTGGATGTTCTTGCCTTGGTTTCTTTCGCAGCCTTATGTGGTAGGCACGTCTGAACGCGAGAGTGGTGTCCCAGGAGCCTTTCTGCCTAGAACTTGGGAGCTGGTACTTTTCTTCTCCTTTGATTGTAGGCAAGGGTAACAAAAGACCTAAGGCCTTTCGTTGGCCGAGAAGGTGTTTGAAGTGTTAGGACAGGACATATCTTACCTCATGTATGGTGCTCTCTCATTATGGTGCTGTAGTAAAAACTGCCCTTGCATTGACTATTTTTTTTTATCCAAGTTCGTTAATGCTTAATTTATTAAATATTTGCGGGCCTCATCTCAAGGGTAAGGTTTCTTAAACGGTAATCTGAGATCTAGTTGTCCGGTAGAATGTTATTACAAAATAACCCTAGACTTTGTTGCTGCAATGAAAAAGTCTTCCCAGGGGAAGAGAAGGAGCAGCATTTATTTTAGAATTTGGTGATTTAAGAGGAATTAGTCAACAATAGAGGTGGAAGAAAACGTTTACTCTTTTGACATAAGGAACCGGGGTTCAAAGATTTATGAATTGCAATTATTGCAAATAACTATTTGCCTGTAGGTTTTTTATAATCCTCAATCGTTAAGGCAAGGAAAGCAGAAACTACTCCTTTGGGGGAATTAGTGCCCCAAGAGGTTGAGTGATTTGCTCAAGGTCAAAAGGTTTTTTTTCTTTACCCATAAGACCTACGTTTCCAAATGCTGTTCTTTGTCCACTTGCACAAGGCTCAACCAGATGCTGGCTAAAATGCAGATCTCTAGGCCCCTTTTCAGACTAGGATAAATTTCTAGATGTGGAAGTTCTAGAATGTGCTTTGCTAGCACGTACTCTCAGATGAAGTTTAATGCACATTAACGTTTGTGAACTGTTGCCTTCAGTGCTTATTAAACGGACACCTTGCTTTGTGTTTTGTTTACTAGTTATAAGAATAAATGGTGAAGTACTGTTCTCCATACTGCATTTTAAAAAAGCGTCTGCTCTCACCACACTACCACAGTGGTGTGCACCATAGAGAATAAAAAGAGCTTAAGATAGGAGGGAGGAGGAGGAGCTAATTTAGCACCTACAGATTATTTCACTTAATATTCTTTGAAGCCCTAGTGGGTTAAATAACATCTCATTTTACAGATGAGACAAGTTTGAATAAGTTATATAACTTATCAAATGTATGATCTTGGGTGTGTGGCAAAGTGTATTTTGAACCTAGATCAATCTATTTGATTCTAAAACCCAGACATGCTGCTAAACCTGTTGGTGCTTAATGAATTTGATTAAGATTTATAAACTATTAATCACAGACAAAAGATTAAAAGCTGATTGCTATGATGAGTGATGGTATATGCATTGCCATCCTCCTAAAGCTTCATTTAACTGTTTAGCTATCAAAATTACCTCTAATACTAGCAAAACTTTAAGCCCTGAAGTTTTTCTTAAACCATATATTCATCTACTCTGTTGTCTTTATGAAGTTAGAAATTGTATTCAGGTTTCCTTTAGGTAAAAAAAAGTGTATATGTATGCCTTTTATTACTAAAAAAAGATTGAAATAATGTAGCTTCTCTTTGTATGTTATATTATTATTAAAAATAAATCTTGTTTATAAGCAGAATTTAATTTCAATATTGGTGAAGTTCTTTAGTTTCCAAGATAAAAAAAATTTTTTTGACTACTTTTCACATGTTTGAGTAGATTTACTGTTATTTAGGCCAAATCAAAATATGTTTTCTAGAACCCTGCTTGAATTGTGCTATCTCATTTCAGTTATACCACAACTCCAATCTGGAAATTGCCCTTGTTCTGTGGATTTGCTTACTTTTTTTTTTTTTTTTTTAATATTTGGGCGCTGAAATACCAGGCTTTGAACAAAACATTTATGTAACATGGACTGTAAAGTGCTGTGTCACATTAGACATGAATAAAAAAAGATATTAACCAATTATATAAGTACTTTAAAAAAATCACTTTTTAATCTTCAATTTTACCCTTTTTAGTTTCTTTCACATTCTGTTTATAATTTGGTAAACTTAGGTGTTTATTAGACACTGTTTTATGATACATGAGTTCACTGCATTCCACTTGAGTAATTGGGGAAAGCATAATTGTGGCTTATAAATAATGGGACTGGTGAAGTTTGAGGAGGATTTATAGATAAAATATTTTTAATAATAGAATATGAGGAATGATTGGAGATAAGTAATATTAAAAATATCTCATCTAAAAATATTACTTTTTCTGTTTCTACAATGAAAAAGACTTAAAGTTGACTTGTTTTCATTATGATTTATGGCTGTTCATCCCTTAAATTAAGGGAATGAATAATGCATTCTTTGCTTATACATCAGTGTGTTTAAAGATATATATATATATATATATATATATTTCTATTTAGGATTGGCAACCTCCATTTGCATGTGAAGTAAAAAGTTTTCGTTTCACTCCCAGAGTCCAGCGCCTGAATGAACTTGAGGTGAGTGTTATATCAGGATTTCTGCCTCCTGATTCATTTTAATGTCAGGGTTCTAGTAGAGAACTTTGAGCAACTCATGTACCAGGGCTCAGAATTAACGTTAGTTGGGATTGAATGGAAGGAAGTTTTTTTTTTCCTTTCTTTTCTTTTCTTTTTTCTTTTCCCTTTTCTTTCTTTTCTCTTTCTTTCTCTTTCTTTTTTATTAAGTAGGATCCACTTTGGGGGTGAGCCGTACACAGGGCTTGAACCCACAACTTTGAGATCAAGACCTGGGCTGAGATCAAGAGTTGGCTGCTTAACTGAATGAGCCACCCTGGTGCGCCTGAATGGAAGTTTCTGATTTAAAAAAAAAATTGTAAAAAGTAGTTGTTAACAGTTTTTCTGCTTAACTGGGACTATGGGAAACTATCTCTAGCTATGTTTTTCATAGTGGAAATATCCATTGCTTACCTGCAGAGACCTGAAATTCTTTTTTTTTTTTCATTTTGAGACCTGAAATTCTAAGTTCTACTTCTTCAGCGCTTACTATTCTACTAAAATTTTATGTTAATGTTGGGAGATTCTGTCTCTTGGGCGTCTTTGAAAAGTAGGCTTTAATATTTTATCAAAGCTTTTCAAAGGTTATTTTTAACTTTAACAGAACTTTCCCAGGACTGTTAATCTGATTTAGTAACTCTCTCTTTAAATATTACTAGTCTCTTAAATTTTCTAGATTGAAGTCTATTTAAATATTGCTGTTTTACCTCTCTGCCGGGTTATCGGAAGATACTTCAGTGTGGTAGAAAAGTGTTTCAGAGTACAAAAGAGAAATCTTAGCTAGCTGAGGCTTAATATGTCATAGTGAAGTTTTTTTTCCCCCCCCCTTGATGCTTCTGAAACATTTATTTTCTGAGATTTTATTTCTTTCTTCCCTTTAGTCTCTTGTAATTAGATACATGAAGGATCTTAATATCAGTGGGGTGGAGAATTGGTGTACCTGAGGTAGGCATATTTTCTACGGATGAAATGATAGAATGCTTAGAAACAGAATAATCCGATTTACTAAATTTTCTGGTTAGCTTAAAGTTAAGCCAACTTTTACAAAAAAATTGCTTTGGTTGATTAAATATAAGAACATTTCTAATATATTAGGGAGTGACTTTTTTGCCTTAGTGAATAAAGTTTATTAGAAGTATTTTGTTTTTTATTGCCTTATTTTACAGGATTGGACTAAGCAGTAATGAAGTTTTTGGATTTCTTTAGAGAAATGAGTACCTTTGTTAAGTAAAACTCATTTATTTTCAATCATAACTTAATTCCTATTTCTGATTTCTGTTTTTTAATAATCTTAGGCAATGACCAGAGTGAGACTGGACTTCTTGGATCAATTAGCAAAATTTTGGGAACTCCAAGGATCTACTTTGAAGATTCCAGTGGTGGAGAGAAAAATCCTAGATCTGTATGCTTTGAGCAAGGTGAGGCTTGTACTTGGTTTAGAAATTGGAGCAGAGGCTAGTGAATCTATGAAATGAGGAATTTCCAATAAACTTGATGGAAAACATCGTTTCCTGTGCAGGATTTGTTTGACAATGAAATACAAGCATGAGTAAATGTAAATGACAGATTTTGAAGTTATCTTTAAAATTATTTTATATTATAAGACTTATTTAATGACAGATTAGTGGGCTCTATGATAAACAATATGCAATTGTTTATCAATCTATTAATATATTAATCTATTAATATAATATCTATTAATATTATCTTAGTGTTGAGTGTATAATGTTTTATGTTGACCTTGTCATCTTTTTTCTACTTCTTAATTGAAAACTTGTTATATTAAAAGAGATTCATGTTACTCACCATTCTCATGTGTGATATCTATCAATATCTGTAAGTAGTGCTAATGGTTAACTGAAGCCAGCATTATCCAGAATGAATAAGAGTTTGAAAACTTAAGGGTGAAGAGTTTAGACTAATTTTTGCCTAAACTTGTTCACTTTGTTCCTAATGTGAAAAGAACTAACTGACCTGCAGCAGCATTTAAATTACCTTCAAAACATGTTTTGTTAATACAATAATAAAAATTTATGTTCCTTCTGACTTGTGAGTGAAGATAGCTTGATTATCTGAGGAACTTTGCAAAGTATCTTTTTCTGTGTGGCCTTTCATATCCTCTGATTGATAAACTGTTTTGAAATAAAATGTTACTCAAATTATAGAGTTAATTTTGGAGATTTCACTTTCAAGGAAAAACAAGACAAACATATTTAAGTTATTTTTTGTAATACAATTTAAATTTAGTGTCAGGTCACAATGCTCTAAAAATTTTATATTAAATTTTATACTAAAACTAAAAAAAATATTATATTTGGCTGACAGCTGGTGAGCATCTCTGGAGTTTGTGTTATTATAGACATGATTTTGAAACACTTTACACTAGTTTATAATGGGAAGCGAATTTTCAGTTATCAGGTCTCAGTCAATTTCTCATTTTGATGGTTTCCTGTGTTGATTAAATTATCACTTTGTTTTATTATTTTTAATAATAAAAAGTATTACTCAGAATGTCTATAATGGAGTTTTACATTAACAATTACTGTTTATAATCAGTGCAGCAAGGAACATTCATTCTAGCCCTTAAAAACTTTTTTTTTTGGTCAGTGTAATACTTTTTTTTTAAAGATTTTATTTATTTATTTGATGGAGAGACACAGCAAGAGAGGGAACACAAGCAAGGGGAGTGGGAGAGGGAGAAGCAGGCTCCCCGCAGAGCAGGGAGCCTGATGTGGGACTCAATCCCAGGACCCTGGGATCATGACCTGAGCTGAAGGCAGTCGCTTAACCGACTGAGCCACCCAGGCGCCCGGTCAGTGTAATACTTTTTTTTTTTTTAAAGATTTTATTTATTTATTTGAGACAGAGAGCATGAGAGAGACAGAGAGCACATGAGAGGGGGGAGGGTCAGAGGGAGAAGCAGGCTCCCCGCTGAGCAGGGAGCCCGATGCGGGACTCGATCCCGG